CGTGTGTGGTGTGTGGTGTGTGGTTTGTTTGCAGCAAAACCGTGGTAGCCAGGGCGAGGGCATTTGGGTGTGCAAGCTGAAGGAAGGGCACAGCGGTCCGGTGACGGGAAGGACGATGCTGGATCTGCAGGAGGCGGTGGACAACCACAAGGAGGAGCGGACAGTGGACGACTTCATGACCTTCTGTGAGCAGTACATCGTGGGTGAGGACGGGCAGCTGATCGACCAGCGGTTTTTGCCGCGGATCGTGGAGGGAGAGGTGCGGGTCAACATGATATACGACACGCCGACCGAGATTGTGCACAAGAAGCCCAAGGCCGGAGGCATCAGTGCCACCTTGAAGAGCGGTGCTCAATACATCAGCTACAAGCCCGACGACCCCTTGTTCGCCCCCCTCATGAAGAACTTCCTCCACAATGACTTGCCGCGCATCATGAGCGTCCTGGGCATGGAGAAGGAGCCCATCCCGCTCATCTGGACCGCCGACTTCATCCTCGGCGACAAGACCAGCGACGGACTCGACTCATACGTCGTCGGCGAGTTCAACTGCAGCTGTGTCGGCATCACACAGCAGATGCACCTCGCACCTAGCGTCGCTAAGGGAGCCATCCGAATCATCCGAGAGCAAAAGGTGAAGAGCGGTCAGTTAGCTGCACCTCCATCTGTGCCAACGGCTCGCCCTGGGAGCCCCCTCTCACCCAAACACTTCAATGGCATGGGCGATTGGTTTTGGCAGGGAGTCAAGGCGGAAACCCAGAGCATCGGCAAATAACAAATGAATGACCGCCACCCCACGCCAGGCCCCTCCCGAATGAGACACACCGACCATTCGTGGGGGACCGACACTGTCGTGTGGGTTGCAATGCACCGTCGCACTGGTCTTTGACTGACAGACTGAGGCCGTCCGTCACTTTGTATGTAGGGGGGAGGGTATGAATTGGTCGACATGCATTGATTGCGCTTGGTCTGTCGTGGCTGCACCCCGGTTGCACCATGCGAGGCGTTTTCCCGTGCATTCGCATCATTTTTGGGGGCGAGTTTTGTGGGGACGTTCACCGTTCTCTGGGCCTACTGGGCTCGACTGTGGACTGGGGAATGAAGTGGGGGGCAGGGACTGCACGACGCAACGGACGTCAGCTCACGTGATATCAAGCATCCGTTGAGACGAGACACGTACAGACACGTAGCATCGTATCGGTCCATGCTGTCGTACTCAACGTCAACTCAACACGAGGCAAAAATTCACACTCCACTCACTCTTCTCGCATCTCTGTACAGTTAGTTGCCTATGTGCTCCTCGCGGGAACGAAAGACATGTCAACTCAAATGGGGCCGGCGCTCGTGGTCCTAGCACTTCATTCACCAGTCACAGACCACTGACTCTCGATTTAATCGGCCATCTGTACACCCACTGACCTCCCTCCCTCCCTCATCGTCATCTGCTCAAGGCTCACTCCATGACCTCGCCCTCCCCTTCGTCGTTAGGACCCATTTCTCCCGCCGTCAGCAGGCTGAGCCCCTCCATGCCCAGAGCAGCAAAACCCAGGTCGATCCCGGGGGCCTCGGGAATGTCCGAGAACATCTGGATCACACGGTGCAGGGCGTCGATGAAGCAGTCGATTTCTTGCCGAGTGTTGTAGACATAGAGCGAGGCCCGAATGCTGCCGGCGGCGCCCAGCAGGCGATGCAGTGGCTGAGTGCAGTGGTGGCCAGCCCTCACTGCAATGCCCTCTTGGTCCAGGAAGGTCGACAGGTCGGACGCGTGGATGTTGTCGTGATTGAAGGCCACAAGTGCAGCCCGCGAGTGGCCTTGTGCGATGGGGTCAGGGCCGTACAGCCTCAAGTCAGGGATGTCACCAAGGCGACGGTACAAGTAACTCGACACGTCCTTCTCGTACTCGGCAATCTGACCGACGACACAGCCATAGATAGATATTTACTGATATATTGGGTAATTGATTTCTCGTCGAGTGCGTACGTTGTCCATTCCCAGTTTGTTGAGGTAGTCCACAGCAGCGCCCAGGGCGACCGCCTGGGCAATGGGTGGCGTCCCAGCCTCGAAGCGAGACGGAGGGTCCAGGTACGTCGAGTGATCGAAATACACGTCCTGATGTGATGCATACATCCATACATCCATCCATCCATTCATCCATTCAGCCCAATCAGCGAAGGACAGATGCGATGCAGGTCTGTTTGTTTGATACGCTGGCGTGGGCACGTGCTCCCTGACCTCAATCATCTCGCCTCCCCCCATCCAAGGCGGCATGCTCTCGAGCACTTCATATTTGCCATACAGCACACCAATCCCAGTGGGCCCCATCATCTTGTGACCAGACGCCACCAGCCAGTCGCAATCCAGGGCATTCACGTCGATCTGATGAATCAACAGCACAACGCGACATGGATAGACGGCATCAAGCGGGGCAACGCTCTTCCGGCCTAGCTAGCCTGATTGCCGAAGTGTGCCCATGCCTCTCTCTGTGTGTGTATGATAGTGTCTGTCTTTAGTGAGTGAGTACCTTCTTGTGGGGCACTGCCTGACAGGCATCGACGAGAACCTTGGCCCCAACAGCATGGCTCTGGCGGACGATCTCTGCGATAGGGTTGCTGCAGCCGAGAGTGTTGCTGACAGCCACTATACCCACCATCTTGGTCCTGGGCGACAAGAGCGACTCGAACGAAGACATGTCCAAACACTCGTTCTCGTCCATCTGAACCCATGCAGCACAGAACCGCACAATATATATGGTGACAGATCGATCGTGTGGGAGAGCCATCCATCCATCCATCCACGACGGCAGAAAGGCCCCCTCCATTTGTGCTGACCTGTATGTATTTGATAGTAGCTCCCTTCCTCTTGGCGAGGAGCTGCCATGGGACGATGTTGCTGTGATGCTCCATCACACTAAGAATGATCTCGTCGCCCTCACCGATGTTCGCCTCACTGAGCGGCACCAGCAGAAGGAAGGAAGACATCACGGTGACCATGTGCACTCCCCCCCTCCCTGCCTGTCTCTCTCTGTCTGTCTGTCTGCGGTCATTCCTTCATGTGGTTACCCACCCCCATGTTTGGGCGACAAGGTTAATCCCCTCGGTTGCACCTGACGTAAAGACTATCTCCTCTCGCCGCCGGGCGTTGAGAAAAGCAGCCACACTGGACCGAGCTGACTCGAACGCCTGACAACCCGACACCCCATTCTCTCTGCAATCCCTGTCATCCATTGGCCTCCCCGACGAATACAAAGTCGGTCGATACAGACGTAAGGTACATACCTCAGTCGCCCTCAGGGCCAGTGTGTGCGCGCCTCGATGCACGTTCGAATGTTGGTGCTGGTAATACCTCTCAATGGCCTGAGTGGATGGACAACAAACACAACGTTTATCACAAAACATGTCCTTTCGTCCTTTGCCGCCAATCAATGCGGTGAAGCCTTTTCTTTCTTCCTACCTCTAGGACAGGCTTCGGCATGTGAGATGATGCTGCATTGTCGAAGTACACCAACGGCTTGCCGTCGATACGCTCATCCAATATCTACACGACAGTACCAGGGAGAAGCAGCGAGAGATGACTGACAGCAATGACCACCCTTGTCGTCTTCCCTCTCTGTGTGCTGTGCCTTGATTTGATTGATCCGTCCGTTCTCACCGGAAAGTCTGAGCGCAGGGGACTGCCGAGAGTGGTAGATGTGGGCGCTGCTGCAACAAGACCTGCCAGTGGTGATGCATGGCAGGGCGTGTGGGACCGACTCCGCCACCTCCTCAACACATGGTTCGCTCGCAAGACGCGGGATGGGGAACCGACGAAGGCAGCACCGGCAGCCGAGATCAACAACCCACAGAAAAGGGCTGTAGAGGTAGGAACCACCACAGTGGTCTGCATCACGGTCATCAGGCTTCGTGAAGATTCTTCAATCTAAGCTCGCACACGAGGACGATCGGTGGTGCCTGAGAGCTGATTGTTCATCGGCATCGTTTGCAATGAATTCGTCGCTACACGCACACACATGAAAAAGCTTCCTCAGCACTGCAGTCATCACAGTTCACACGTATGTACAAGACAAGTTGAGAGGTATCAATAGCAGCCTCCCCTTGTCCCCCCTCCCCTCCCTCCCCCCCCCCACCTCCCTCCGCACCCTCTCATAAGAGAGAGATGCCTTTATGGAGCACAAAATGCAAAATCATGCGTCACTACGTAAGAGCCAAAAATCATGCCGCCTGACTGACTTACACATTCACGCAGTCATACACGTACACCGACCCCCTACACCCAACACACGAGGGACACCCCTGGTGCGTGTGTGGATGGCAAGCAGACTCAGCTACTTGCTTCCTTGCTGGCTACTCACTGCAACCACCGCTAGCTGTCTTTTAGAGCCTACCTGCCCACATACACATGTATGTCATGGATGGCATCCATCCATCCATCGTGTGCGCCAACTGCACCACGACATCGCTGAAGCACCGGCCTCGCACCCACCCAACACGCAGACAGACAGACAGACAGCCAGCCAGCCAGAAGTGCCCCACGGACAGGAAGTGCATTTGTACTTGACTTGATGGGTGCGTGAGTGCGTGCCGTTCTGTACATCAATCACACCACACAAGACACTACACCCATTCCCAACCCCCCCTGCAAAAGAAAGCAAGCAACGCAGTCAGTCGAAACCCCCCGGTGCCCTCGACTTGCTCTCTCGCTTTGATGCCTCTGCCTCCATTGCACTCTGTCCGTCATCATAGAGTAAATGGCATATCGACACCCACCCACCCACCCACCACTTCTCCCGGCAGCACTGCCCCGCTCGGCAGCACTCACTGCCACAACCCATCCCACACAGTCAGTCACACTCACACGGACAAGCAAAACTGGATGGATGGATGCGTGGATCGATCACAATAATGCCGATGGAGGCAATGCAGGCGAGGGGGGCGAGAAAGCAACAGAGAGAATGAATGGAGAGAGAGGCAAGCAGAGACAAAAACTCAAAGTGAGGGCAGGACGGTTCTGGCGATACATAGAAGAGTGGGTAAGAGGGCCCGGCCCGCATGCAGGGATGCCAAAATCATCAGGACGTTACTTACAGACAGACATGTCAGTCAGATGCTACAGACATACACACTGCATGCAGGGGGGGGACTTGACATATGCAGGCAGCTAGATGGTACCATCCATACGGACGTCATTCAGTCTTGGCTGTCCTCGGCGGCCTCACTGGCCTGCTGTTTCCTCTTGCTGGGCCGCAACTGGATGTTGCTGGGCAGGTTCAGGTTCAGGCGAGGTTCAGGGCCGCCGGGCTCTGTCGCCTTCCTCTCGTCCCGCGGAGTGTTTTGTTTGTCCTCGATGTCAGCCATGATCTGTTGGGCCTCTGAAACTAGCTTGCTCCTCTCCCAAGGCCACAGAGGGCGACCCGGACCCTGCAGAGTAAGTGAACCAACCAACACGACCGATGTGGCATGGCAACAACATCCATGTCCCACAGCAATACGTACGTACGTACGTACATACGTACCTGCGAGGCGTCTTGTCCCCTCGCCCTTGCCTCCCTTTCCCGCCGGTTCTTCTGCTGCACAGACACCACAAACAGGTATCAGGGGCATGAAGCATGCAGCGGTCACTCACGCTTGTGAGTGAGGCCAGTGCACTCAATGTCACCTGTTTCTTGTACATCGACTCGGCCGCTTGGAATACTGCCACACACACAGACGTAGCAACCAAGAGATGCAATGCAGTGAGTGTACCGACTGTGTCTGTCGTGTGCAATGTCTGTCTGTCTGTCCTTGTCTGGCATGTGTCTGCCTGCGTATGTATCTATGGTGCCTGCCCGTCACGGCCCGCATGGTATGGTTATGCTTACCATCGACCTGGAATCCCCCCCAGCCACTCCCCTGGAATATGCCAACCTCCACCCGGTCCTTGGATCTCGTCGCCTCCTCCAAGAAAGGGAGCAGGTACCCAGGTACCCTACACACACACACACACACACACACACGTACAGCAACGAGCGTAACTGCAGTCAGTCAACGGGGGGAAATGCAGTCATTGCAGCCAGCCAGGCTATGACGGACCAGTAGATGCAGTCGACTGGGCATGTGTCGATGGCATTTTGGATGTCGTCGCGCGATGCCCCGTCCTGATTGTACGCTCTCGCCCTGCCCCAAAGCTCCTCCATCTTGAAGACACCCGGCGCCCAGCCGTTGCAATTGGTACACCCTGCACAGACAGACAGACAGACCGCACACAAACGGCGCCACACCAAGTTTGTGAATTTGCTTCCCCCCCTCCTTGTTCGTTTCTGCATGAGGGTGACTGATGTACCAATACAGGTGAACTCGTCAACAAAGACGACGTTGTCCCTGATGGCATTCATTCATTCATTGCCGAGTGTGGGGCCGACAGACAGACACAAGACAACCACGGATGGGATGGATGGACATACCATACATGGATTCACTGACTGGCATCTCTATCTGCTAAGTATTGATTGCATTTGACCATGGACAGACAATGAATGTGTATGTGCGTACCTCTTCTCGAGGGCGTATTTTGCGTCCTCCCAGATGCCTCTGACACAAGGAGGAAGCCACGACCAAAGGGCACGTATACCGTCCATCCGTCCATCCATCCACTCACTCGTTACATTCAGGGACTCGTTCGCACCAAGTGCCTGTCGTCTGTCTGTCTGTCTGTCTGCGTGCCTTGGTTCCCTCCCTCCCTACCTTTTGTCTGGATGTGAGAGGATGCTGTGTGCGACGCGAGCACGAGTCAACCTGCAGCACAGCACAGCACGTGCCGCAAACACACGCAGGCGCCTGTTGTGGTCTTTGCTGTGTGTGTGTGAAGCTTCATCTGTCTCTCCTCGGTTCGGTACCCACCTACCTTTGCCTGTTGTCGAATGAGTCGGGCAACTCACTCAGCCGCCACTTGAGGTCGGCCCACGCGCGCTCGACGTCGCTCTGCGGTGCGTCGATGGGCAGTCCAAGCTCCCCATAGAGATCCATAGACAACTCCTCGCGAGTGGGTGACCACGGGGGCAGCATGTCAGCAGAGTCAGCAGAGGGAGGGAGAGGAGGACGAGACGAGTCAGACACTGCAAGCACAACCCATACAACCACACACGCCACGACCCACTCACTCACCCACTCCCTCCCACGCCAACAGCAGCCTGTGGATGGATGCCTGCCTATTTATCTCTGTGTGCGCCGTACGTACAGTACGCACCGTCAATGGAGGTAAGGGGTGATCGCTGGGAGTCGGCTCCTTGCAGCAGGCTGTGGCATCCCCTCCTCTTGACGTCCCACCTTGTCGGGCTCAGGAAGGAGGCCAGGCCGGTGCTCCTACCCCGCCGATGTGCTGCCTGCAAACAGCAACGGGAACGCACCGCCACAGGCATTCCCGCACTCCAAGGTCTCCTCAGCATAACACACTTACCGTCTTGATGCACAGCAAAACCAACAGCACACACGCCGCAACAGGCAGGATCCTCCCCTCCATCCTTCAGCTGTGAGATCTGATCTGCAAGCACCAGACATCACATCAGCAAAAGCAAGCCAGATTTCCCTCGTTTGGATGGGAGTGGTCCCTGCAAGCTCTGACGTCCATCCCTCGCTCACCTCCTGCCCTCGCCCCGGCGAAAACACTCCCAAATGCAAGCTCGCACCTGACATTCGTTCGTCGTTCAAGCCCCGTTACGTGAGAGGGAGAAGGTAAGACGATTAAAGGTTCCTGCTGATGCGATGTCTGGCGCTCTCAGATCTCCGGCCTCCGGTGAAAGATCCAGAGCTGTAGGATGTTCTCTTGGTTTGGTGGGACGAAGGGGGAGGGGGAGTCCCCGCTGCCAACCGCGCCCCCGCCAGCATCGAGCGAGTCGTCCCGTCTGCAGTCGCCGAGTGAAGGTGATGTGTTCGACGAAACGGAGGACCTGCAGTACCGCGGCACAACGCCGTTCAGCGGGGGCCCCCGAGAATCCGGAGGCTACCACATGGCCTACAAGGACAGACCCAGACTCCAGAGCCAGGTGCAGTCCATTGTGTGTGCGCATCTCCTACCATTCCCGTGTCATTCATTGATTCATTGATGTCTGTCTGTGCATGTGTGTGTCAGAGTCCTTACACTCACGACGTCATTTGGCAGCGGACCAAGAACCGCATTCCCTACTTCGAGATCCGAGAGGTTCTCGGTGAGTGAGCCGTCACGAGAAGCTTGTGCGTCGGCTACGACATGGCAACTGACGCTGACAAGACTTGCTTGATGGGTCCCTTGGTTGCGTTCTGTCTGTGTGCAGATCTAGAGTGCAAGGAGAAGGAGGCCGCCACTAAGATCTTCGCTAAGGAAGTGCGAGATATCTGCAGGTAGGCAGGCAGGCAGGCAAAAGGCGAGAGCGGCGCATTTGGCGTTCGTTATTCGGTTTGCTTGTTCTTTCTGATTGGTAGGGCCGAGATAGACGAGTACATCGATTGCATGATCGATCGGCATTGGACTGTTCTGGCTTGCAAGCCGCTAGCCATCGACATGCGGAACTGCGTCCGGAAGTACGAGACGCCAGAGGTGGGATCGACGGACGGACGGACCAACACTCACTTGTGTCGGTGAATGCCTGTTCGTTGGCTTGTTGGTGTGCGTGTAAATGAGTGCAGTACATGCCTCGTCGCATCGATGAGATCATGCGCGAGAGGGAGAAACAGGGTAAGTAAGGAACCAACCAACAGAGAGAAGCCAGCGCCTTGGCTTGGACACTGACTGACTGACTGACTGATGTGTGTGTGCTTGGTGTGCGTGTGCAGGTGAGGATATCATCAAGCGGCAGGATCGCATGAAATACAATCGATACTTCAACGAGTGAGGAACCATCCAACCCACCACACTCGTGCCTTCAGTCAGGGTCGTACGAGCACACGAGGTGCTGGTATCCTTCGGTCGGTTGCTGTTCGTGCCTCTTATTTGTAGTTCGAATGGCGATGGCTGGTTGCCTCCTCGCCCCGGCAAACCCGAGACGGAGAGGATGCCATGGAAAAACCGCAACCAAGAGCCCACAGTCAGACTCACTCACTCACTCACTCTTGATTCAGTCAGTGCACTCTGATACGCACGGCTCTGATGAGTGGTGTCTATGTGCGGGTGCGCTGGCCAGGTTTACAGGGACAGGTCGCCCTCCGACGAAGATTTGATGCACAACAGGTGCCCGCCAAGACGAGACAGACACGAAAACCAAAGGGCGCTTCTGTGCTGGCATGTCCGTTCAGATATCATCACTCGCCCCTGGAGCCATCGTAGGTAGTGTCGGCAGGTGTCACTCACCTAGCAAGTCGACCGTGTGTGTTTTTTCTCGGTATGCGAGAAAGCCAGACTTGTTGCTAGTACCTACTTGTTACCTACTTGTGTGCCCAAGGGGAACAAGTTGATTGCAATGCATTCAAGTTGGACTGTACAGACAGACACAGCAAACGCGCACTCATGTGAAACAAATAACGACCAGTGCAAGCTGCAAACACACGTGTGCAGTGCAGGGACCCGTGTGCACGGTCAGATCAGCATACTATGCATACCCACGGTGCTGTTCGGGGCTTGGCTTGTATGCCAAAGATAGGTTAACAAGTTGCGTGGAGGCAATTTGGATTGGACAAGACAGAATGTAATGAATGTATGTCTCTCGCGACCATATACTTACCCCCCTCTGCATGTGCAGATCTGTTTTCCGACTGGCGGCCCGAGAAAACACCCGCCGACGATCACGAGACCGTCAGAAAGCTAGTCCAGTCCCTTGAGCGGATCCACGGCATCCTGGACGACAAAGAGAAAGGTGAGGAGGGTCATGGCATCCATGAGGTCAATCTCGCCAATGGATGGACGGACGGTCGGTGTACTTATGTATGTATGTATGTATGTGCGGAGGACATGGTGGACCTGGCAAGGCTGCAGCCTGAGTCGAGCGCCGACGCGTTGTTGCCGCACCTCCAGCCACTCATCGGTCACACAGAATGCACAGGTCCGCCAATGCAAATAAATGTACAGAGACTCTGAGTGAGTTCAGTGTCCCGCTCTCTCTCTCTCTCTCCCTGGCCGTCTGTACAGGCCTTGTGCTGAGGTCTTGCCTTCTGCACAGCCGGGTGATCGGATTTGGGGCGATCATGACCGTCGTCGCGAGGTGCCTCCACCGCGACCCGCCGCCTTACAACCCCCATGGCGGTCGGTTGGGAGCGCGGAGAGCCACCGAGTTACGGAATCAAGGCGTTGAGAAGATCGGGACATATGACCCAACAGAGGCAAGGAATTGAATGAATGGCACACGCGGGACAATGAATGTGTCAGTCATGTGGTTGTTTTGTCCTGTCTTATCTGCCTGCCTATATCAGGACTTGAATAGCCTGCCGCTTTCTATGGGCACGGACTACTGGGCTTCAAACACCTACGGCTAGATACGAGGTGCGGAAGCTGAGGTTCCCCCCATTCCGAAGAGTATCGCAGACGGTCCAGCCCTGAGGCCAGGCAGCTGCGACAGCGTCGAGCAGCCGGCGACTTCCGCCTCCCGGTCGATCCATGCCTCCACAAGGAGCCCTCAGTGGCCGACTGTGCATCGGGGAAGGTGAGCAGGTCGGGGGAATGGTACATTACGCATGTTATGCGTGTTGTGCATATTGTTTCTGCAGACACGTCGATGGAGGGCGTCGATGAGCGATTCTATGGGATGTACGGAGGCGATCATGGCATTCCGCTGACACTTGAGAGGTGCAAAGAATACACCCAGCCCAGCGCAAGACGTTTCTCTCACGCAGCAGCCGAAGTGTGTGTTTGGGTGTTCGGTCAGGGCGGTGGCGATGTTGTATGCGGTGTTCCAGCTGGTGTTTGTGGACGACAGGCAGGCAGGCTGCTGAGGTCATCCGACTCGGTCAGTGGATCAACAGGGGGATCCGAGAGAGTGAATGGGCAAGATGATGTGTGATGCTTTGGTCCGTTTTATCCAGCTGCGGGTGTTTGGTGCGCTGGCGGATGCAGAGACGGCCTTCCTGTACGGCCTGTCCCCCCCCTGCACACGGTGATTCTCCCCTTTTCGTTCACCGAGGCATGGAGATTTCCGCTCTTGCTGAGGAGCTGGTATCCATGAACCTTCGCCACTTGATCGACCGCTGCGCCCACATCCTGCTGCAGCAGGCACAGCTGGAGTACCAAGCTTTGTTCAGGGACGACAGTGTGTGCTCTTGTCCGGAGGGAGGGGGAGAGGGAGGGGACGATAAATATACATCTGGACTGAGTGGCTTGTTGTGAATATGGTCGAAAACTGGTCGAGAATGTAAACACAGCGACCGTTGGCCGTTGGAAGACAAGAATAAACCACTGAGCCAGAATAGATGTGGCTGCATCTTGCATCAACTGTACCTCTCCTCTCCCCTTCGCTCTTCTCCACGCTCGTGACGGCAGACGAGAGCAGTCGGCTTGACATTTCCAGCTCGCTGGCGTCGCGGCTCGAGGCTGTTAATCTCTCCTCTTCCACCGTCTCCGAACAGCCAGCAAGTATGTATGTATGCTACACACGGACAGAAAGTAGACAAGGACGCCACAGCTAGAGATGACAGGCACCTCAGGCGCATCCGCTCTGAATGTCTTACGCTGCAGCCACCCCGCCCGTGTCCCTCAATTTCGAGGCAGACGACCATGATGAAGGCGACTTGGCAATGGAACTACACACAAAGCAAGGGAAGCCTTTGGCATCGCCCACACTGGACTGGGGCAGGGAGACGGAGGCGCCCCACCTCCTCGACGGCGACATGATCCTCGGTGAGCCGGCTGCCCTGGATTGTTGCAATCTGACGACCACGAAGACGCCGCCGTTGACTCGTCAAGCCTCAAACCACTCAGGCACGACGGTTGCCGAGAGCTTCCCGAGAGCGGCGGTGCCTCAAAGCAAGGCAATGCGTGGCGACAGGGAGAGCGAGACGAGCACTCCCTTCATCCTCTGGCTTACAGTCGGGTCATTCATCGTGGTGGTCTCGCTGCTGCCTTTTTGTGGCATCTACTGCATCGCTCATGTGTGCAAGAACCTTTCACGGCCTCCCATATACGGCATTGCTGGTGGGACAGACCGACGCAGCAGGTGGGAGGGCGACGCAGCCGCTGCTGCCGATCGAAACGCTGACGTGATATCGATCAAGCCTTGAAGAGACCTAGAGCAAACGATGCGTGCGTGTTGGTTGGCTGGTTGGCTGGTTGGTTGGCTGGTTTGGTGTGCTAGATGCTTTCTCCGTCACTTTCCTCACTACAGTAGCATTTTTGTCACATTTTGGCATTGGCCCCTAGTGCAGCAGGGCAGCGGTGTGAGGTGGGTTGGGCAAATGCATCAGTGAGACATTTACTTGCATGCTTCAACCTTCACAAGGGGATGCATTCGTTTCGACGCCTTGCACGCGTTAAGAGGAAGAGAAAACGTGAGTTACTTGGTCCATTGGTGTCCTGGTGTGGGTGTGTGGGTGTGTGTGCTTGATCCATCCATCCCTCTATCCATGAGCTAGAAGGGATATGGATGGCATCAGAAGAGTGATCCCGTCTCGAGTCCGCCGCCCCCGCCCCGCGCGCCCTTTTGGTACTTGGGCAGGATGCTCTCATAGTTGCTCTTGCGGGCCGCCGGGATGATCGGCGGGGCGTAGCGCCACGTGTGGCCCAACGGAGTCGTGTAGTGCTGCACAAACACAGCACAGCCAGACGGAAAGACAGACAGTGTCAAAGAAGGAGGGAGAGAGGGAGGCACCACAGCGACACACGGCAACAAAGACGGGTGGATGGGTGAGGGGATCAGGAAAGAGCCCGAGGGCGGCCAGCGCGTGTGTTGTCTTGTGCGAGTCTGACTGACCTGGTAGCCGGCCGGCAGGTCATGAGACAGCACCTTCTCACCTGACACACACACACACACACACACGTACCCCCAGGACGGCCAGAGGTAGGTAGGGAGGGAGGGACAGGCAGTGAGTCGATCAGTGGAAGACAAGACACTCGACTGTGCTGTGTCCGGCAGTGTGTTGTGGGTGTTGTGTTGTGTTGTGCTGTGTTGTGTTGTGTGCGGTGGGTGTCTGAGGTGCTCACTCACCCGAGTCGAGCTTGGTCCGCTTGTGGAACTCCCTGAACCTGACGGGGCAACGCACCAGACAGACAGACAGACAGTGATGTACATCCAGACAGGCGCACGACCCAAGGGGTCAGCCGTCCATAAGGGTGGCCTCATTGCTGCCTGCGCCTTTTACTGCATTGACTGACTCACTTGTCTGAATCAAGGGTGGCACCTGCACACCCACAAACACACCATTGCAATGGAATAGAAACAAGAGACGAGCTAACTGACTGTCTCCCCCTCCCCCTCCCCGGCTGACTGACTTTGTGGGATGAAGTTGGTCGTTGTGTCTTTCTTGCTTGCGTAGCTGTCGTACGCCTGCCGCCTGGCGGGGAAACGCAAATACTTGGGAGTCACCTAAACACACACACACACGTGTGCGCGTGCCAGGCAGGCCCCAGCTGTGCTGTGCCTGTCTCTCTGTGGCATGTGCCCCCCCTCCCCTGCCCCTCCCCTCCCCCTCCCCGGTCGGCCGACCCATGGGGCGAAGCATGACGGCCGGGAGGGCACCTTGGCCTGCGACGGCTGGTACTTCCACAGATTCTCAAAGAACAAATCGAAACTGAACAACACACAAACACAGCGGCTGCCTCATGTTCCTGGCCCCCATGGCCAACGACTTTCATACACTTATTCATTGCTCACCCTGCGTCCCTGTGGATGCGTCCGTTGGTCTTCTCAAACTCGGTGGCCTCTTTGGCCGTCTCTCTGAAGCTGGCTACGTC